TATACGAAGTTATTACGGAATATACATAGAAACGCTGAACTGTACATCGGCTGCTCCCACAAGTCATTCTATACACAAATCTAATTCAGATAGCCACAACGACTCTGCATGGAGGGCAAATGCGAGAGAAATACCAAAAATAGATTGATTACCTCTTAAGGCCCTTTACTGCCCTTTACCATACGAAGTTATTACGATATCCCGAATGCTTTTCACACGAGGGAGAGCACTTGATTATTGTTTATAGAGTGGCTTGCACAACATTTCAACTAATTTTTGCCGCTTAGCCTTTTTACCGGTAGAACTGTACCCGTATACGAGTAGTAAAATAATGGAGGTGTGACTGTACATACCATACTGCTCTCAATTTCTTGTGGTTCAAATATATCTCCCATAAACATAGGCAATGTTTTGTCAGGACTCCCATCATCACTAGTTGAAGGCATTTGTAAGCACCTGGAAAAAACATAAACATCAAAAAAGACTAAATCTAAAAAATCACGTTGACAAAACGCTATCGTTACCTGTTAACTGGTCCGCTTATTTCAGAACTGGCATGAGCAGCGGTCATCTCAGCTATTCGCTGAGGCCTTTCAATAGAACCACCGCGATACCGGAATCCTGTAGAAACGCTTTCTGAGTGATCGAAGATGAAATGATCAATACAGTGAGAGACCCAGTAAAGAAACTGTCTGATATTCATAGAACTTACCAACTACATTTTCAGAGTTAGAAATTCGTAGCGCTCGATCGCTAAAAGTTGGTGAGGCGAAAGACAATCTGAACGATCTGAAAACAATTTTAACGAAACGATCAGATAATTTTTTGCCATTTGCAGCAATACATGCAACACAAACTACTGCTCATGAAAAAATCAAATGTTAGCACTAACCGAAAGGGTGAGGGCGTGGCACTCATGTGGATCCCAGGTCGCGATGTCGGAGTCCTCAACCCAGGAGACATTCTACATTGATCTACCTGAAAATAACTTCGATCATCTTTCTCAGAACGATGAAATTTCAAAGAATATTTGTATGATGTTTCGTGAAAGTAAGCGGAAGGGAAGCATCGCCTCGTAGATATTTTCAAAAGCGGTCGATAACCCTAGAATGCGGAAAATAAACTGAATTAATACAGTCACTGGGTCGATATGCAGAGTGCAAGTGCAACCCCAATTTCACAACATGATAACAGGTCACATCAACTAGACAAAAATAACAATAATTTTGAAGGCTAAATGTATGACGCTCTAGGTTAACTGCATCACAGTAACAGAAATGAGATGGTGAAAGGGAGATAGCAATATTATGCCGGCTTGAAATAGGGATTAATGGAAAGCGTGAAGGAGTGGGGCTTTAGATTCTATGGCAATAAGAGAGAAGGTGGGGGAGGGGGGGTGCTTGGTATAAAGAGCAAAAGATCTACAATAATCCCAGTCCTTAATTGATGGAAAGAAGCTCCGTGGTGGGCGAAACGATTTGCTTGTGGTAAAATAGAAGAGTGTGAATACCACTTCTTCTAAACCTTTATATCTAAGTAAAATGTAAAATGTGTTTGTGGGGGGAGGGGGGTTGAGAGCATTGGATGCTCGGTATCAAAACCCTCCCCCACTCTATTGGAGTAGACTCCCCAGCAGCCCGCCGGTAACTGTCCGTGACGTATAAGGCGATAGGAAATGATTCATGCCATCAACACCGTACATAATAAGGGCAGCCTTCGTGGTGGATTTAGCAGAATACTGCTTTAGGGCGCTTTCATAGTTGGTCGTCCGATCGTAATGTCGCACAGCATTGAATACGTATCGATCGTCGGATATGACGAACGATCGCTACTACGGTTTACGGACTACTTGATTTTTCCTCAATGGTCCTGCCGCGATGGCTAGAGCACAGACGATTAGAGAACGGGTGAATGCCCTAGGACTAAGCCTTGGAGAGGAGAGGGACCCGCGAGAGAGCGCAGAGGCGGTTTAAGGGCTGAGTTCAAGTAGTCCGTCAACCCGCTACGTACCTAACGCTATGAACAGGTTATAAAAGCGCTCTTGAACCAGTGTCAGACTTTGCGAATTCCGGCGATTCGCTTGTAGCGAATTCGTTGAGTCGCTAGCAAACCCACGGCTCCTTACTAGCGACTGAGCGGACTTCTGCGAATCGCTGGATTCACAAAGCTTGACACAGGCCTCACGAGTGGGCGAGTTGCTATGAAGGGTCCACATGTCCGTGAGACACCGCACCCTAGCCACACGCATTGTTTTATTTCGTAACTATTTGATCTATCGATTAGTAGGAGGTGGCTTTATGAACAGCGAAATTATTGTAAGTGCACGGATTCACGACAAACATGCGAGCGTATCTGTTCTATGATGTACAAGGTATCAGTTTCATGTAAAAAGATAAACAAATTATTCTTTTGACGGTACCAACAAGAAGAAAGTGGCACTATGTTGCCACGTGTGTCTCTCACTAATCACAGGCACGAATATCGATCGGACTTGTATGAGTGTTGCAACAGAAAAAAATTAGCTTCCGGTGTCTAACCTAGGGAACTTTTTGATAGCATTAATTGAATGCTGCTAAATGACGGAGGTAGACGTATCTTGTGAGGTTTTAACTCGGCCTTACGGGTTTTGAGATGCAAGGATTCAGCGATGCGGCTGAAGGGAAATGGGTACATCTCAATCTCGAGAATCGCTGAGTCGCCGAATCGCCTAAAACGCTCATGGCACGAGGCAAATCAATCGACGTACACGTTATCCTTTCAACCAAATCAATAATCGTCGAATTCCCGGCTCGACAGGTACGTTCCTTTTGGGGGAATTGTTGGATCCCCTAGAACGTACACTGGCTGAGAGGTGTCCAGATCAGAAGGTCACAAATAAAATAAATGCGTGCGCATAACCTGTCAAAAGCCGCAATTAACCTGACAGGAAATAATAAATTAGCGGATTGATTGCTCTGAAATGTCAGTGAAGGGGGCTCATACCCTAAAATAAATTCCAATGAGGGTAACACGAAGGTTTTGAAATTTGACCACTCTCACCAATACACCTGACCAGTCGTTCAGATCATTTACAGCTAATGAGAACACAAAAAAAACTACTCACCCTATTGACTATTGGCGGACTGTTGAATGAGAGACTCAGACCAACTCCTGAGTCTGCAGATGTACCTAATAGTAAGGAGTCTGTCGGTCGCGAATTAACAGGTGTCGTAGCCCTGGGCCATTTCGTGGGCGGACTGTAGTCGACTGATGATTGAGGGGGGACAATACTAACAGGTGGTGGTAATGATGGCTGGTGTTCCACTAGCCATGACGGCCCCGCGGGTGCCCACATGAAGTGGCTAGCTGGTTTCCTGGTAGCTGAAAAGCACAATACTGATTTCGATCTTTACGAATCAAATATTTTGACAAATATGGTAGCGAAGAAATCAACGAAATATTCCGTAACAATGAACCAATACTTTCCAACAACAATCTCAACTTCTGCAAGCTTCAGAACAAATCTTGGCTTCATCCAGTAGGGTGAGGGGACATGTAGTGCGACAGTACATGTCGCCTAAAGTAATCCAATTTATCGCAAGGGAAGGGAGCTTCGAGGTGAGTGTAAAAGCGAAAGCAAAATAGTTCACGCTCTCAGGGCTTTCCTCCTCTGCAAAATTGGAATTTCTTCAAATTGTAGGCGGCAGCAACTCTTGCGCCACATGCCCCTAATTGGATGATGAGACCCCACATTTGATTTGAGTCTCATCCAGGAGTGGGAGAAGGGGAGTGGGCAAAAGGTCACACCGCCTAAAGTGATCCAATCTTCCAAGGGAGAGTTAGCTCCAGCCTGTGTGTAAAAGCTGAAGTGAGCTGAAATAGTTGGCCCGGGGGTAACTTCTCCTGCAGAATTAGAGTTTCTGTTGGCGGCAGCACCCCCTCACTGGACGAAGCTCCCCAAAATCGAGATTTACTGTTGCGCCACGGCGTTGCAATGAGACCACGAATACAATCAATGCATTTGAAAATAATAAGTGAGTGAATCAATTGGATGAGAGACTTCACAAAGTTTTGTTCAGGAAGCTCAAAATTTTTAAAAACAGTTCACTTAAAATTTTTGAGGCACCCTGAAACCTATCGCATCCCTCGAACCTGCTCAATTTTCAATTTGAAAGAAATTTCGAAGGTGTTCGAAAGAAATTTCGAAGGTGTTCAGGACAGTGAACACCGAAAAAAACGAAGATGTTGTTCACAGTTTCAGGGCATTGTCTTAAGCCTGAGATTCTGTTTTATGACTTCTGTAGGTTGCAATAAGGATTACACAGAGAGTTTCTCAACTTCCTTTCGCCATTCTCGGTTCTGAAGAAGTAATGATGCCGAAACATCAGCCCCACAATGCGCGATTCATGATCCTGGTCACACAAGGTGAATTATACTTAATTTTTACCGGAAGGAAAATGGCGATATTCATAAAATCGGGCTTGGGCGCTACTCAAGCAATGCTATGTCTGCAAGAAAGAACACTCTAAAAAGCAGCTTAAAAAAGAGTTAGCTTAGTCAATAATCTTTTGACAGAAACTTCCCGGAGATTCTTTCTCAATAATTCTGCAAAAAGAGTATCAGAAAGAATTGTGTCATTTCCACGACTGCAACCAAAGGCGCCGAAAGCATTCCTCCCTCGCCCGATTACACTCGTTCACTCCAGACTGTCAGGAATCGTTAAGGAATATTGCTGATCTATTCTCAATTTAGCGCATGGCAGCCATTGAGATTATGTAGAACATAGGTTATAAACGTAGATCAAATTGAATGAATACAAGTGTTATAACTCGCTTTTATTTCAGAATCTATTTTTTTTAGAATGCTGCCATAGTCGGCCTCTTTTCAGTGCCAAAAAGCAGGAATGGTGTAAGATGAAAGCAAAATGGAAAAATAGCAAAGTAAAAAATGAGAACAGAAATGATGGAGCTTGAAAAATGCAGTTTCGCAAAACTGAGCCAGGAAATTAGAGAACAATCAAGCTACTGTGTGTGCAAAACCACCCTTTCATGAATGGTAATACCTTAACCTGCCTATCAAAAACCTAATACGTAAATGTCGCAAAGTTAAAGTTAGTGAAGTTGAAGTAATTCTGCTCTGAGCGAAATACCGATTTCTTCATCTTAAACGAGCAATATTTTAGAGTGCGCTGCTAAAAGAGAAGTATCCGTGATGCTAACAGCAAATCAAATGATAGACCAAACTAGGCAAAAGGAGTCAGCTACTGGACCCCTTCCCTTTCACACCAAAAATTTAGAAGAATGAATAGGTAGCAAAATACTCCGTGGCCAGTGACAGGGTAATTGAGGAGTCTGGTTTAACTAGTCTGAGGAGCTGGTATGAAGGGCTTTCATCAGAAATTTACAAATAATCAACGCGAACCAAGCCCGGCCAATGAGCTCGTTGAGTAGAGAGTAGTAGTGACTGGCTCATTAAGTCCACCAGCAACTGTTTCAGTCAGCTGTCAGGACTGGAGTAGAACGTCGCACAGGAGGACGGTAGGGGGTGGTAAAGGTCATGCAGTCACTGAGTACACACGCTCCTAATGCTGTGTCGCGATGGTGGTGGTCCCGTCGGTGCGGGGTCATGGGTCATAGATGACGACGGACCGGCAGCCCCGGTCGGCAATCTGCTGACCTTGCCCGGGTGTGCCATCGGCGGCGCCACCCCATGTACTCGCTTGCGATCGCGCTAACGTGTCGTGAGCCTCACCCTCCCCTACCACATCGATCGATCGTCGGTTGGTTTGCTGCGACGCACATTTGCCAGGGAACGTGGCCCGCTACTAGATCCTTTGTTTCCTACCCCTCTTCGCGCGGGGTCCCTCCTTCAACCTACCGATTAGCTAGCTATACGCCGCCCGCAGCGCAAATTTACATACTCCGATGAACTACTATAACCTCAGCGTTAACAAAATTAATGACCTGTCATGATGTCAATGGGACTAGTGATCCGCTATTCTGGGCGTAACACAAAGGCAAGAAGCCCATACGGAGATTTGAGAAGCAAATTCAAAGAAAAGAAAACATGAGGTGAGAGCGCTGGAACAGCAAAACACGAAGAAGTGGTTCATTGAACCACGGATAGGATTCGTTGAGGATTTCATGCATAGAACAGGTGCGTGGGACCGTAAGGAAGCTTTTAGGGTGAGCGGGAAGAAGTCGGGAATGCTGGGATCTCCTTTGAGAGGAACAACAAAAAATATTGTATAATACGCAGAGTAGCATTAACAAATTTGATACACCTCACCCATGTCCTGCAGACAAGGTTTCCCGAATTTGCTATAACAATTTAGGGTGAATAACTTCGGTTCGGGGGGGGGGCACGCGATGGCGGGCGCTTTGTTCGTCTGCTTCTCCAGAGCCTAGTCTACAGGGACAGTTACGCTTTCGCCATTTGTGGCGATTTCAACATACGCGCCATCG